GAAAATTTCTATAGTCTTAAAAAAAATAGGCTTTTCCCACCCTTGGCCAGCACAGCTTTATCCCAGCCTCTACCAGCTACTCTGTCCCCTCCCCACTCCATGCCTGTGCTTCTAACTTGTTCATTGTTGGCAATAACAAAGCCTGGTTGAACACATGTTGCCGGTTCAGGGTTACTTTGCTGGTTTTGTTTGGATCACATGCTTCCTGTGTGTCTGGGGTGGAGAGGACATGGACTACCTGACTCATAACTCCTCCATGCCAACCAACCATCCATAGAATAGACTCCAAGCAGAGCATGTCTCTGGAAAACCAGCCCTTCAGCAATGTCTGAATCTTTTCTTGCAAATGTATTTAAAGGACTCTTAAATGTGACCATATACCCTTTATCACCAGAGAAAATTAATACTCTCACCTGCCTTGTTTGCCATCAGTACTTTCCTCTCAGCCTCCACATTCAGCCAATTATGGTCATTTCCATTTTCTGATTCTTTTGTTTAATATAATTATTCCAAAAAATTGGACCAGGCAATGCTTTTTTCTTTTCTTTTTCTTTCTCTTTTCCCTTCCATTGAGCTTGATAAGAAATGTCTGTGTATTCGTTTTCCCTTCTTTATGAGTAAGACGATGTTTGCTACATCAGCAGAGTGAGCCGGACTTGAAGTAGTCCATATCCAAAGAAATCTTCCCGTTTTCATAGCATGCAGTCAGCAGATATGAATAATTCCAGGAATGTGCTTTCCAGTGTATATAAATAGTTTTCTCTAGAATGAACTCTCTCCTGACTTAAAATTTTTAAAAAGCATAGTAATGTATTTTGTCAAATTCAACTATTGGTAGTGACTCCTAAGTACAGAATGGGGGAGTGTATGATGCTACCAGAAGGCATAGGTAGGCTTAAAGGAAGTTTGTCCATGACATAATATATCATGGCAGCTTAATAATGAAATTGGTTTCTCAAAGAGCCTTTTGTGGCACGCTCGTTTCATGGGATGGCCTCTGAACTAACAGGTCCAGGAGCGGAGCAGCCACCTCTCAGACAGAGCTTCAGAGTCTCTGGGCCTCAGGTGTTTCCTAAGCCAGTGACTGTGGTGTGACCACTGCTGGGTGGGCCCTGATCCCATTCCTGATGGTGCCCATGCTGCACTTACACCAACGCAGGGGACGTGGTACAGACCTGCAGGTGCTTGGACATGCTAAGCCTGCATGGGTGGGAAGGTAAAGCCCCTCACGGGGAACTTTGACTAATTATGGAGGGAACCAGTGCATAGCCCTGTCCCTTTCCTTCCCCAGTAGAGACCCCTCCAGACACATTTCATCCAGCTGCCCCATAGGATCAGGTCACCAATAGCCTCAGAGGTGGCCAGATCCAGGTCACCCCTTCCACTGGCTCCCCATCTGGCTGTGTGGGGTCTGGCCCTTCACACTGGCTCTCTGGGGAATAGTGCCCAGCAAGAAGCTTGCACTTCAGCCTGTCTTAAGCCCTGCTTTCTGGGAAACCCAGACAAAACATAATAGTTCAAAAACATACTCACCTGGGAAATGCCATGCACTGCATCCCATTTCTGAAAAACCATCATGCACAACCACTTCTAGAAGGTCCTGAGGATCCTGCAGCTAAACAAACAAAGAAACAAAACAAGGCTTGTTTACCTTGTTACACTAAATTACTAAAATCACTTCACCATGAAAATCACTTGGAGAGCAGCTTTGCAAAACTAGACACAAGAAACATCACTGGAGATATGCAAATATCTTCAGAATTTACTGTATCTACACTGAGGATTTAGGGCTGTTTCTGAGAGTTTATTTATATGAATGCTGGGGTGGACTGAATATTGGCTTCTGAAGAGATATTTCCATGTCCTAACCCCTGGAACCTGTGAACATGACCTTGTTTGGGAAAACGGTTGTCACTGATGTAATTGTTACGGGTCCTGAGGTGAGGAAATCATCTTGGATTAGCTGGGTTGACCCTAAATCCAATGACAAGTGTTTTTGTAAGAGAAAAGAAGACAAGTCATAGGCACAGAGGAGATGGCCATATGACCATGGAGGCGGCGGTGGGATTTATGCAGCTGAAAGTGAAGGAACCCCTGGAACCACCAGAAGTGGGATGAGGGGAGGAAAGATTCTCTGCAGAGTCCTCAGCAGGAGTGCAACCCAGCCAACACCTTCACTTTGGACACCTGGCTTTTCAAACTGTAAGGGAATAAATGTTTGTTGTTTCAAGCTACCAAGTGTGTTGCTATGACAGCCACACAAAAGTAATACAGGTGCCATTGTGTCTAATGGAAAAGACTCGTGGAAAGGAACTGCCTTGTCACGGGGACCTCTTAATCTGGAGTTGGCTAAATGCCAGGGTGCTTTCCCTCGGGACTTGCTCTAATATAAAGAGATTCAGCTGACCATGTTCTGCCTGCAGGAAGAACAATAGAGAGAAGGGGGCAGTTAAAAGGGACCCAGCACCTGGGAGACTGGTCTCTGTCTGACCAGCAAAGAGCACAGCACACATCAGCTTTAAGTCCAGATTATTAGTTTTCCTCATTTGTGAAGGGTATTGAGTGGTTGCTGGGTTCCCTTCCAGCTCCAAAGTTCTGGGAAGGCCCGCAGGAGTCCTGAAATACATTCCCCCAAGGCATTTTAAATGGTTCTTATCATATGAAACAAAGGAAACAGAGAGAAAGGAAGGGAAGGAAGCAGCATCTGCTCGAATGGTCAGGAACACACTTAAGACACAAAAATTGATTCAAAGTTAGGTTCATCCAAATATGAATGCCCAGGCCAGGTCATCTCCTTTGTTTTTCCACTTTGATTGACTTGAACTTAGAAGGACTAGGAGGCCTGCAGGTGCTTTTTAAAATTTGGGTAACAGTGGTTGAAAATACTCAGATTTCAGTCATTAACTCTCTCTACAGTCTCACTTCCTTGACCTATTTCAGAAGGAAGAACATGAGCAGCAGCCTCTACCTCAAATCCCTTTGTAAATATAGATTTCCTGAAGCTTCTGCAAAGTCGTGACTTCTGTCATCTCATGGGTCTTTCCTGACTGGGTCTTTGAGGCACTCTGAGTTCATGGGAAGCTGCACCAGCTCAAACTTTATAACATGGGCTTCCTCAATATCAGCCTCCTTTTGGAAATTCCAATGTTGTTTTTCAAATCTGTGACCTATGACTGTTTCAGGGAAGTCAAGTTGAAAATTTTTTTTAATAAGTTGAACTTTATTTAAAAAATTCACTAGAGCCATTCACTGTTTATAATTTCCATGACAAATCAGCAGGTAGTTATCCATTTTCAAAAAGCAAAAGTAGGGAGCCCTGCTTTGGAGGGCCTCTTCCCCTGTATTAGATGAGTTTGCACATAGTGGGGTGCCTTGCATGCCCAGCAAGCCTTTTCTGTCTATTGCAAGGCTGCTCATGCCTGCATTCATGCCTGGGCCAACCTGCCAGGGGCGCTCTACAGAGTTCTGCAGGATGACCTCCAGGTTATAGAAACAGCAAAGAGATTCTTGAAAATGTGCCAGATGGAAAACAGTGACAGCTTTGGATTCCTTCCAGGCCCCGGAAAAGAAGCTCTGCAGATACAGTCATTTCTTCAGAGGGACTTGAGAAAAGAGAAAAAAATGTTACTAATATCTCTCCAATCTTTTCACAGTCAGAAGTAAACAGACTTAGAAAAGAGCATATATTTCACAGGGATGTTTCAGAGCACGTTGGTAGGGTGTTAGAATCATGGCCTTGGTGGAGTGAAGAAAGCCCTGGGCAAGAAAGCAGGGGCCTGAATTGCAGTCCTGTCTGGGCCCCACCACAGGTGAGCCCCCCTGCTGGAAGCCTTAGCTCTTCTTCCTCCCAAGGGAGGCGAGTACCCGCCTCTGCAGGTTCCCCCAAGGACAAAGGAGATTGGCTGGTACAGATAGCTTGTAAAGGTGGTATCTGTTGGACTTACGTAAAATTTCATTAGGAAAGGTCCCAGAGGACATTTTCCCAAGAGAGACATCCAGCTAATCTTGGATGGCTTCCATGACTCTCTGTGAAACAGGTGGATATCTGAGATGCACAAATTCTTTTGTCCTTCTTTGAGAAACTAAGCTGATTATGAGATGAACTTCATCCTCCCCCTTATGAGTTAGCCAAAGGTGTATGTGTGCTGCAGCCACATGCCAATGCAGCAACTACAGACTGACATGGGAATAATTAGCAATTAAGGGACCTACAGTGATCTCATGAGGTTACAGCCAAAAGTTAGGATTATTTTCTGTCACTCAACTTGGGGGACAGAACTAAAAAAAAGCCTAAGTTTGGAATACTCCTAGTTACTAGAAGGTTATAGGGCTACGAATGCCATCATTTCCACCCTCATTCCTTATGTCCGTGGAAAAATATGTCCTCAAGTGGAGCAAGGAAGCTAGACAAACTTTCCCACAGAAATTATGCATAATGGTGGGCCTCTGTTCCTGTTCACATACTTGGCATGAAGCAGGCCATGGATATGCTTCAGAAATAAAGACACCACAGCAAATCACGATACTTATTTAAATGAGGGACATTGTTCCAAGTGCTGGGCTGTTAAAACTAGAAGGGATTATTTTTCAGAAATAAAAAAAACCCTAAGTTGCATTATTTATAAATGGCATTATTGCTTACATAGGAACCTCAAAGTATCTACAGCTGTATTAGTTCATGTAACAAGTACAAGTAACAAGTTTAGTGGATGACAAATCAATTTAGAAAATCACTTTACTTAAAATTTTTAATACCAGCCACAAACTGTTAGAAATACTTCTTGGATCCCCTCTCTGCCAGGCTGATCAGTGGAGAGATGGAGCTTTCCCACTTCTCCAAGTAAGCCTGTTCACAGCAACAGCTTCAGACCTGAGAGGCGGCAACACTACAAAGAGAACTTAGCTTTGGAAAAAATGAGATTCACACTAAATCCTGGCTTCTCCATTTGCTACGTATAATGAATCTTGGTTTGCTCACCTGTACCATGGAGGTGATAATGGTGATTATGCCAACTTTCAATATGGCTACTTGGTTCAAATAATACATGTGAGGGTGATAAATAACTAGGAAGTCTTTACAGTGGGACCGCTGCTCTTAACCAGGTCAGAGAAAACACAACTGAAGCCATGGTACCAGAGCCTTGGCTCTTCCGTTTATACTTGCTTGACCTTGAGCTTTTCCAGGCCTCAGCTTCTTCACCTGTCAAGTGGGGATGACAATAATGTCAACTACATAGGACCATGGTACAGATGAAATGACTCTATGTGAAGCTCTTAGAATAGTGCCTGGTACATGGCAAATGTTCATTCATTCTTACTGCATTTTCATGTCTGCCTGGAAGAAAATATCTGTCTAAAGAACTGCTTATTATAAATAATAAACTCTATTTAGAGTAAATAAAATTAAAAAATGACTTTAAAGGAGACCTAGGCCAAAGTCTCATTCCAGGGAAGGAAACTGAGGCTCAAAGTGTTTCCTCTGGTCACACGGTTACTCCTAATTTCTAATTCAGTACTTTCCCCATATACAGCTCTACTTTGTGAACAAAGGTCTATAAGAGGACTCGTCTATCCTCACTAGATGGCCCAAGGGGTTCAGAGATCCCATACACCTATACTTCCTACAGATAAAGAAACTGGAAGTCAAAGAGTCTAAGGAGCTGCCTTAGTGTTGCATGGCCCCGAACCATTTGAAGTGCATCGGTACTCTTTACAGTCATGGGACTAACCACTGACTGCTTGTGTATCCTAGAACTAGTGACGTGATCCACTCAAAACGGTGGTCTGCAGATCAGCATCACCTGGGACGTTGGCAGAAATGCGGAATCTCAGGCCACACCCCAGATCATCCTGAATCAGAATCTACACCTGAGGGATACTTCTAGAAGCATTCCTCTTTTTTGGGACATCCTAGACCCTCCCTTCCAGCTCTAAAATGCTCTGAATTCTTCTCTCCTTACTTCTCTAACCCCACAAACTCCAATTCTAAAGAAATATTTGAAGGGGATAAGAGGTTACAAAGGCAGCCTGAGGGTCAAGGTGAAGGGAAAGTGGACAGAGGCATATTCCTTCATTAGGGAAGCTGGTTTCTGGCTGTCAGGAGTCCTCCTGACGCTTTGCAGGGCTGTTAGTGATGTTTGGATCACATGACTGATGGGGACAGAGCCCTCTCCCAGGAGCCTAGGAGACCCGGGGGCTTGTCTCATCTCTGCTGCCAGAAGAGACGCGAAGGCTGAAGCAATGGCCCCGGTCTATTCCTCTCTAAAAGGAAAGAACTGATTTTCTAAACAGCTTTCATTTACATGCTCAGTCTTCAAAGTCAGTCTTTTTTAAAAATTACCTGCTTTTCTAACTTACCTGTGATTTATTGGTGTGTGTTTTTCTAGCAAATTCTTCATTCCCAGCCCAGAACTTTGGCTGTCAAAGAGGACAAGGGAGCTCTGGTTAAGGTCTTACAATCACAACAACCAGGATTCCCACAGGCACAGAGACCTGAGTGATTTTTCTGCTCAGCTGTTTTCCATCACCTTGTGTTAAATAATTGGTCAATTCACATTCACTTTAGCCCTGAACCTCCTTAAAAGGGCCACCTTTCCCTCCAGTCTGCTCATTAATGTCCACTCCCTCATCTGGTAAGAGGAGTACCCGCCTGAGCCATCTGCTCACTGACCACCCCAGCTACAAAAGCATGTGCCCATGGAAACAAGACCAAAGGCAATGGAAATAGTGACAAAATAGTAAATTTCATCTTTAAGAGGGCCTGCTTGCTTTTCTCTGGTTTTAAGCCTATTTCTCTGAGGCTCCAGTTGAAGCTCATGGCTACAGAACACGAAACCCCACTTCTTAGTCCTTGGGCTTAGTCTTTGCATGCCAAGAAATATGGAGTTCTTCACATGCATCAGACTAATTAATAGTTTTGCATTCCCATAAACATGGAGGTTTTAGGAGTCTAAAGTTGACTTTGAAAATGACACAGAGCGACACAGAGCTCTTGTTTGCCAAATGCTTGCGAATCATCTTCCCTCCACAAAAACCTTTAAAATGTCAGCAGCCTGAACACCTCTGCCCACAGGGCCATTCCTTCCACAGGACCTGGGCAGTAATTTACTGCCTAAGATGTCTATCCCCAGACCCCAGGAAGGTTGTGAATGTTTATGGCCCTCCAGGCAAATGTTTTGTGAAACTATCTGTATGAAGCACAGGCCCACTCACTCCCCCTTTGGCACCAAAACATTTTTGTGAAGGTATTTTTATTTTAAATAAGTGAGCTCCACAAGTAAATACTAAGTGAGGGCTAGTGAAGTGACTCAAAATGAAGCAGAGATTGAAGAAAGAAAGGCTCTTGGGGTAATAAGATTCTAGTTTATCCTTGTTTCTCTCTCTTCTTTTATTGAGGAATAAGTATATGGAAAACAAGGCATTCAACCTCATTTTAAGAACCCATTCTGAGCATAAATCTTAGTTACATGGCTAAAAACAGACCCATGAATGGTGTGGACTTAACTTCCCTTCACAGATGCCTTGTGAGGGAAATAGTCATCCTCCTGTTCCATCTCTAATCAAGACTTTCAGAAGAACAAATGTTACTGTAAAGACTGTTACGAATTATCAAGAGAGAAGTTGATTTTTGTTCACAAATTGGCCAAAGAGGCATCTGGTTAAGTTCAGAGGAAGTTAAGGCAGACTTAATGAAGGGCAAGAGGCACATTCAAGTTTCCCCTAACATCCTACTCTCTGTGTGACTAACACGATATTCTCAAAAGTAGGTAAAGAAAACAGCACATTATTTTTACTTCAGAAAGGACAACTTAACCCATATGTGAAACACATTATTGTAATGTTTCAATTAAAGCATACTTCAAGTGCATATTCAGTAGAAAAATCAACTCCCTCTCCCATTAGCTGCATTCTCTACATACTGAACAGGATGTGAGAAAAATTGCCGGATCCCTACTCCATCATTTCTCATGCTGAAATTGCATTCTAAGCACTTGCTATGTCTGAACTCCACAGATGAGAAACTGGAAGTAACCTTTAGGAATGAAAACTTTTATGGAGTGTGGTACAATAGTGTTCAACAGTACAATGAAAGCTGTGGCCGTAATTAGATTTTATTTTGCTTTTTATTTTGAATGAGTTGAAACAAATTGGAGAAAGTGAATTTAAAAAAAAAGGACATTTTGCAGATAAGCCTAATGGAGATGTTAAAGGACTTCCAGAAATAGACAGACATTTATTTAAAATCTAGCTTTTAGCTACATTTCATTCTTTGTTTATGCTCTCTTCTTCCCCTCAGTTTTCACACACAAGGTAAACATTTGTAAAAAGCTCAAGCCCCAAAGGACTGCAAACAGCTATAAGATGTCAGCTAGGCAGTTTCATTTCTAGAAATCTAAATAAACTCATTTATTTTAAGGCTAGGGAAATGACAATTATATAAAATAACTGGCTTGCTCTTCCTGTTCCATGAACAAGCAGAGGTGCCTGTGCACACACAGAAATGCACACACCTCGTTTAGCCAAGGCTCATTGCTCCAAACAAAACCTAAGGGCTTACTCCATGACTTGGAAGATTATTAGTTTTACTTGAAATTGGGAGAAAAAGAAAAAGTACAATCAATATGGTGATGCTGCCCCAGGTATTTATCAACATGCATGCAGGAGTGAAAAATTTGAGTCACCTCACGTGTTCCCAGATGAAGTCCAACATCCCCAGTAAAGGTGTTGCTCTGCCTTCTTGTTTCAGCTCTCATATTATAAACAAGTGTTTTTGTGATCTATTTAGTGCCACATTCTTTTGCATTTTTATGGTTTTTATTGGTGATTTCACTATTTAAAATGACCCCAGCATGGTACTGAAGTGCCATTTAGAGTTCCTAGGAGCAAGGAGACCGTGATGGCCTTACTGAGAAGCTGTGTGGTAGGTAGGCATAACCCAGGCAAGAGTTGAGGTGGTGTTAGCCATGAGTTTAATGTGAATGAATCAACATTATGTGTTAAAGATGGTGTCTTTCAAGAGAAACACACACAAAACAAAGTTAGATGCTGATCAGGTGATGAAAATCTCAGGACCAGAGGCTGGCAGGAACCACATCTTGTACTCCTCCTACAGAGCCACATAGTGTGGGCTAATTCAGAACATAACTACTCTGGAAATGAGAATGGACTGTACTGAACTGATACCTAGCTTTCCTCTGGGGATCCTGCTTCCCCTGCGAACTTCTCAAGCAGAAGACTGCTTATTTCCTTAGTTATGTGCTAATTCACAGCCCCTGCAGACCCCATATACCACTGAGGCTGGAGTAAAGTTGATGTTCTCGCACCGTGTTGCCTCTCCTGGACCATTTGCCATCCTTCCACCCTAAGGCCTCCACCCACTCATTCCAGCTTCTCTGCAGCTCAGGCCTTCAGACTATGTATGCCACATGCTATTCCTGCTTGGAGCAGGCATCTTCAGACCCCCAGTCACTCTCCCTCATTTGTTGAAGACTTTAGTTTTTTCCTTGTTTTGCTGTCTTTCTATTACTATTCCTGTTACGGTTCATGAGGACTTCAATGTCCACATAGAGAATTCTCCCAATAAATTAATTTCTTAATTCTTCCTCCTCCTTACCTTCTATGATCTTGCCCTCCACCTACCTCAGCCACCCTCTTCAAACGACCTGTCCCACCCCGGACTTGGGTCATTACTAGGTAACGTGCCCCTCCATCATCTCAATTTCAAAACTCCACCGTATGATCACCACTTCCTATCTTCCCAGATCAGTACCTCTAGTGGCCCAAGCCCCAGTAACACTGCAAGCTCCAGGCCCCTCTCTGACCTCTCCTCTATCTTTACCCTGCTTCTTACCTCCTCATGTCCTCTTCTCCCTCCAGTCCTGACTTCAATCCCTTACTCTGTAACTATAATCACTGTCTTCAACTCCCTTTCCCTTCCTCTCTCTCCATTTGCTATAACCTGATTAAATCCGAGTACTGTGTGCCTATTAACTGGTCTGATATAACTTCTTAACCAAACCTCAGTGGGCCCTGAATGCTGGTCAGAAACACTACACACTTCCTTAATCAACTTGCACTACCATCTCTAAGACTACTACTTCATAAGTTGTTTCCTATCCCTTAACTGCTAAAATTATTCCCCATTCCTTTCTCTCAAGACCTTCATACTTCAATGAAAAATAGAAAACATAATAAAAGAAATCCTAACAGTTCCCACCTCCAAATCTACCAACTTTGCCTGTATCTGGACCCAGATACCGCACCCCTTCCTGCTTCTGTGCATGACTGTCCTTGCACCTTCCTGGGGCCGCTCCTCCCTGAGACAATGGATGCCATCCTTTCCAAAGTCACCAATGTCTTCACTCCTGCAACTGTGCCCTCGCCTCTAAAATTGTCCATTTCTCTACCAAGTGTAATCTCTGCTAGTAATTACCATTTACATCCTGATGACTCCTAGATGTCTATCTGCAGCCTGGGTCATGCTCCTGAACACCAGACTTATTTATCCCCCTGCCTTCTTGGGTGTCTATCTCATTCTTGATTGTCCAGTCAAACTTGCTTTTTCTCCACATCCCTCATCTAAGTAAATGACAACATCATCTTTCCAATTGTTGAAGCCCAGACCATTCAGGTCTTTCTTTCCTGACTCCTGTCTTCTCAGACTCCTGTCTCCTTTTCCCGTATACTATCAAATATTCATGGCTTTATCTTTGGAATGTATCCAGAATCTGACTATCTCTCAATTCCCTTCTGCTTCTGCTTCCATTGTTTCTCACCAAGATTATTGCACAATCCTTTAATGTTCTCCCTGATTCTATCCTTTCGATTCCCTTTCAGTGTGTGTATGTGCAAGCCTTTTGCTTTAACACAGCAAACAGAGTGCTTTTAAGACCTAAGTTGGACCTGTTGTTCCTCTGCCCCCAGTTTGCCAGAGGTTTCTATTGCTTTTAGAATAAAATCTGATTTTCACCCTCTTATACAACCCTACCTGATCTGGCCCCCTGCTACTTCTCTGTCTCGTCTCCTGGGGCTCTTTTCCTCGTTCACTCACCTCCAGTCAGTTGGACTCTCACCTCAGGACACTTGGACTTGCTGCTCCCAGATCTCACTCCATTCAGAGCTTTGCTCAAATGTCACATTATCCAAGACCTTTCCTCTCTGTTCTATTGGAAGTAGCCCCATTCACCCTTCTTTTTCTGTCTATCTACTTTGCTTCATTTTCCCTTCACACTCACCACCACCTGCTATATTATTTGCTTATAACGGTACCTCCACTAGAAAGTGAGCCTAATGATAACAATGGTTCTGTTCATTTTAATGTTGTATTCCTAGAGTTTTCACAGATAGTATATGACCACTAAATACCCATTAACTGAGTAGATTAATTTTTAATCAGAACATTCAATAATAATGTAATCCCTGAATCTAATTCAACCATTGGTTTAACCATTAAGCACTTCTGAGCATCTTCTTTGGGCCAGCAATACCAGCTGCAAAATAAAAGCACGTAGAAACTGAAGAGAAATTTGTTCATGAAAGACAATGTTGATAACCATTTTTAGAATATTTCTGCAAAGACACTAAGACTGTGGTTTGGACCATATCCCAGTTAAAAAGGAGGAAATTGAGTGTGACATGTATCTGTCAATTAAAGAAAGATGCAAGTACCAAGGAAAGTAGAGGCTTAATATATACACATTGACTAAATGAATTAAGAAGGTGAGTAGAAATTTTTCAAGATAATTCACATCTGATATTTTGATGGTCTATAGAAGTCTCTAAGACATTGTGAATCCATTCTTCACTACAATGTCTGTCTCCTTGTCTCTCAAGAAAAAGAAAACACCTCTACACCAGAAAAAGATAAATTTTGTTTGGAAGTTATTATCTCTACCTGTTATTCTGACACTTCATTGAAAATGTTTTAGATGTGGAGGGGGTTACTTTAAATATTTATTTTATTGACTTTCCAAATTATGAGAGGGACAGTGCACTGAAATAAGGTCAGAGAAGGGGTTGCTGCACTTTACTTGTGCTTCATTTAATTTGTGTTTTACACATGCTCAGTGTGGGTTGGCAGGAGGGCATTTTGGACCATGAATTGAGAGACAAACATGTAACCTTGGACATCAGAACTTCCAGGGCCTCCACTAAAAAGAAAATCACTACTCCTTCCCTTGGTTCCCTCAGGCCTCTCTGATCTCACTCCTCTCTGCCCTTTGGTCACTGGATCTGGCCACACTGACATTTCTCTAATGGTGGTTAGTTATTAATCAGCAATTAGTAATTTCTCTCATAGCTAAAGATACTAAACTTCTTTTCATATGTTTGCTAGTCCCTTAGGTTTCCTTATTTCTTTCTTGCCACAGGCTTTCAACTTTCTCTCGCCTCTGCCCAGGGCTCACCTTCCAGATCCACTTTCTCATCCCTCTATCTGAGCTTAAATGACACCTCCTCGAAGAGACAATAGCTGAGAATCCAATTCAATCATGCCCCTGCCCTGCTCCACCCTTTCTTTGACAACACTGTATTATATTTTCTTCTTAGAATTTACCACTGTCTGTAATTACCTTGTTTACTTTACTAAATTTTAACGACACCTTCCTCTGTTCCTCCCGAGTGAGCAAAATCTGCAGGAGGACAGAGACCACATCTGTTTTGTGAAGACTCTGTCACTAATACTGGAGCCATGCTTGGTACAGAGCAGGTACTCTGTATTTCTTGAGGAAAAAATTAAATGATCTTTTTTCTGATCATGAGGTTCTTATCTCTAGAATTAAAGAGTTGGGTCAGATCAGTAGTTCTCAAAGTGGGGTCCTTGGATCAGCAACATTAGTATTGCCTGGGAACTTGTGAAAATGCAGATTCCTGGGCCCTACCCCAGACCTGCTGCATCAGAGGCCCTGGGTGGGTCCCCATGCTTGTTGATTTAGCAGCCCTGCAGGTGCCTGAACGTGAAGCAGAGTTTGGGAATCACTGCACCAGATGGTCTCTGATGCCTCTTCTTCATATTTAATTTTTTCAGCTTTTTTAATTACAAATGTATTTCACATATAAAAATGAGAGAAAACCATTGCAAATATATTTGATGCTTACAGTGTGTAACTCTTTCCCAGTCCTGTTTTCCTCCTATCCTCTCTAAAGGGAAGCCCTTCTAATTATTTTAACACTTATCATTTCTGAATTATTTTCCAAGGTGCTTGCATAAATTTATATCCTCATTACCAGGGCATAAGTACCTCTGCCTCTCCATATAATTACAACATTTGGTATTGTCAGAGGTTTTGTCTTACCAAATGATGGTTGTTGAAATGTTGTGTATTGGGGTATTGAATGTGTTTCTCTAATAACTACTTATGATAAGCTTCTGTTTGCTAGACACTTATATTTTCCATTATATCATCAAATACTAAAATTCTCTATCAGTTATATGATTTGCAAACTTTTTCCAAAAATATAACATTTCCCTTTGTTTCTGATAGCTTTTATTAGCAGAATTTTAATGAATTTATCATTTCCTTTATAAGTGCATTTTTATTGCCTGAGACTTATTCCTTAAGCCCAATGTCATGGTGAAATTCTCCAAAATTTTATAATGATATTATACTTTTCACACTGAGGTCTTTAATCCTTGATCTTTGTTTATGGTGTGAGGTCATGATTCTAATTAAATACATTTCTCTCTATAACAGCAGATTGGTGTCTTATCTTCCCTTTTATTCAACATGAAAAAATTATGTATGCAATTATGAAAATTTTATATTATATATATATAATAAATAAATACAGTTTTGTGTTATAATGTATGTAATATGTAATAAATATATATTTATCTACATTTAATAAATAATGAAATTTAAAAAATATACATATAAAAAACCTCTGCCCTCATGGGGCTCAGTTTTTGGGGAAGAGAAGAAATCAACAAGTAAGTAAATTTGTAAATAGTAATCGTGACTATTTACATGGGGCCTCCTTATGTGGGACACTAAGCTTTTTATGCTTATTAATTTATTTAAGCATCCATGAGGTAAGAGCAATTAATTTCCTTATTATACATATAAAAAAAGTAAAGCATCAGACAATTCAGTTGCACAGACTATGGGAGAGCTGGGATTTCAGTCCAGGCAGGTTATCTCTAGGACTTGGGCCTCTAAACCTGACTCTAGACAGCTTCTAGTCTGTGATGCAAAAGCTTGACTGAGAGTCATGTTGGGGTTGGGGGAGGAGCTTCCCTACTTGGGAATCAGAGAAGCAGTCTTTCAAAAAGTACCATTTAGGCTGAAACATGAAGGATGAGAAGAAAGCAGCTTCTTCCTGCCCCAGGAAGGTGGGGAATTCTGCTTCTCTGGGTCTGGAAGAGGTCAAAGAACACAGAAGGAATGGAAGAATTTTTCTACCCCTTACGGTGAACTGAATTATAACAAGATATATATCTCAGTGGTCAGAAAATATAAACACCTCTGTTGCCCTACCACCAAAACCATAAAACCCAGCTTTGTCCTGGGATTGCATCTGCGTATCCTGGCATATACGACAGCCAACAGGCGTGAGCTGGCCGTACAGCACCACGGACACCACAACATCTCTCTCTCCACTGAGAAAGTCTGTCATTAGGAAATGGCGTGGTGTGCTGTCTGGATGGGCTCTCCTCCTGTCCGTCTCCTCCCTCGGTACTGCAGGCGAGACAGAGTAGCCTTTGTGAAATCCACGATGGGAGCTCACAAAGTACACAGACCCGTCTAAGCCAAGTCCAAACATATTAGTCAAGGTGCTTGGAAAACATTATCTTCTTCCCCTCAAGACACCCTGTTCACAGTTTTACCAGGCCCTCACATCATAAATCAAATGAGTATGTTGTTTTTAAATTACTCAGGAGATGAGACGTAATAGAAAAGCTTCCCCCATGGGCCATGGGGAAGGTTGCAATGCTCTGGAAAGATCCCTGAAGTGTTGTGCTGGCTTAGCCCCTTGTTCGCAGGGCTTGCAGTGCACACTTAGAAACTTGAGGTGCTTCTCCCACTTGAGACCACAAAGACTACTCATGTCTCCTTACAAACCCACCTCTGCATGTGCCTGCCTTTTTCTTTTCTTTCCATGGTCCTCTGAGTTCACAAATCATATTTTCTGGTCTGTGAATCAAAACATACAGCCAAATACATGCTTGAAGATTTTATAGCTTCCTTCTGAAATGTACTATGAGATGAGTTCAATGCAATCCTACACCGTTCCAAATTCCCGGAAGAACTGGGATAAAGACAGGATCATGACTGCAATTAGAAAGTCATGAGCTGGACTGAACAAAGGAGACTTCTCCTTGGCCAGATAGTCTGGGGTTTAAGCATTGGTGTGTGTGGACAATCGAAGGCATCTCATTTCTAACTTGGCATAAACCCCATCCAGCTAGCTCCAGCATGCTGCCTTATTACAGCAGTGAAACATTTCTGGATGAGACCATATCACTCAGTGAGGCAACGCTGAGCTTCCTGGTATATGTGCTATCCTTGCACTTCAAGGACAGATCAATGTGGATAAAGTGCAGGATGAGATGTGCTACCTTATATATACACTTTAGTTTAAAATGTGTTCTAATTTTCTAGGGCACACTGTGACCCACCTTAAAGTGTACTCTTGAAGTGTCACTTTAAAACAGTTCCCTTTGAAAATAATTTGATGAGTGTTTTGGCCTTCAGAACTTCTAGTGTTCTTTGATTGTCTGTTTGCTGAGCAAAGGGGGAAAAATGGAGAATGAAGAGAAGAGGAATGAGAAGAGGGTAATATAGGGGACGGGGTGGAGGCTGGCAGAGGAAAGATGGACTTGTTTTTACTGGTATGCAGGTGTCTCTAACCTTTCATAGAATTTGAGGTACGGGGGAGCTGGTAAGCTTCACAGAAATATTCAGATATCCACATCTCAAAGCACTGCTCCTGGCTTTAATAATCTGTATTTTCTTATATTCTTCTCTTTTCCTCTTGTATTCTTTCTTGGCCTACAGACAGGTGTTGCCCTTTTTTTAGCGTGGAGGTTGCTTATGGTGCATGGACTAGGTTCTGTCGTCCTGTCCAGGGTTATTCAGCTCTGAACTTGACACCTCCCCTTTGGCACTGGCTTATCACCCCTGTTCCTTGGTGATTTGCCTATACAGGATATCACATTTCACTATTCTTCTCTTTAACTAAGTGGTGCCCACCTTCCAAGGGCTGAAAACTTCCCACGTCCGTAGAGTGACCACTG